GAAGACTAGGATGAGGACACCAGGATCAGGATGAGGACAGCAGGAGCAATTYTGGGACATCAGGATCAGATGGGGACACCAGGATCAGATTGGGACACCAAGGTCAGTTTGGGGACACCAGGGTCAGGATGGGGATTTGCCACCCACACCCGGCTCCATCCCCTGTGATTCATTTCCCATTCTGTGTCCAGTGTCCGAGGTGTCCTCAGGAGTGGTTTGGCCACATCGGGCTCTTGGAGGGGCAGTGGGATGGGGGGAGGGCTCAGGCCAGGCCTCACCGTCCCCAACGGTCCTTGAGTGTCCCAGAATCGGGGTTTGGGATCTCAAAGAGGTTTCCTGACCATGGCCACAACCATGACATGAGGGTGAGATGGCCACGAGGTGAGAGTGACCATGAGATGACCAAAACACAACTCTGACATGACCATGACTGTGGGATGACCATGACTGTGACCATGACACAATCACAACCATGACCATGAGATGATTGGGACCAAGAGATGACCATGGGTTGGCCATGGCATAACCGTGGCCCTGAGGTGACCATGAGATGATCATGAGGTGACAAGGACATGATGGTGACCATGAGATGGCGATTGCAATAAGATGACAGTGAGCATAAGATGATGGTGATCAGGAAATGACCAGGACATGATGGTGACCATGAGATGGCCATTGCAATGAGATGACAGTGAGCATAAGATGATGGTGATCAGGAAATGACCAGGACCATGAAATGACCATGACCATGAGACGGCCATCACAATGACTCAACTGTGATCATGAGATGACCATGATATGATTGTGGCCATGAGATGACCATGACCATGAGGTGGTCAAGACCATGAGATGAGCATGGCACAACCATGGCCATGAAGTGATGAAGACCATGAGATGAGCAAGAGATGACCATGACCATGATGTGATTGTAGCCATGCAATGACCATGATAATGAGCTGACCATGAGCGTGAGATGATAGAGGTCAGGAACCGGCCAAGACCAGGAAATGACTACAATGGTGAGATGACCATGACAGTGAGATGACCATGACCATGAGATGATTATGACATCACCATGGCCATGAAGTGATCAGGACCATGAGATGACCACGACCATTACAATTAAATGACGATGAGCATGAGATGATGAGGAAGTGACCCTGACCATGCAATGGCCATGAAGAGGACATTGACCATGCGATGCCCATGACCCTGAGATGACCATTACAATGAGATGACCATGACCGTGACACAGCCATGACCATGCGATGACCATGACCCTGAGATGACCATTACAATGAGATGACCATGACTGTGCTTATGACCATGAGAAACCCCCAGCATCTCCCTGAACACGCTGACGCTGCCCATGCAGAATGAAGTTTATACCCGGCATGGGGTCCCCATCTCTGTCACCAGCATTGCTCAAGTAAGCCCAAAACCCCTCAATTCCCTCCAGAAACCCCCAAATCCCCATGGAATCCCCAAAATCCCCACAGAACCCCCCAAATCCCCCTCTCAATACTCTGTGAACCCCCAAAACCCCACTGTGACCCCTCTGAACATCCCCCGGGGTTCCCAGAAACCCCACTGGGACCCCCTAAAATCCCAGCAGGAGAAGAGCCTTCCCACTCAAGTGCCTTCCCACTCAAGAGCCCCAAAATCTCTTTGGAAACTTTCAGTCCCCTCCCTGGGGCCCCCAAAACACCCCAGGCACCCCCATGTATAACACAAGGGTACCCCCAAAATCACACTGGGACCCCCAAAACCACATTCA